GCTACCCTCTCCGGACATCATAGATTCGGTCTCAGCGTCGAGCGAAAGCCAAAACTTGTTCCACGCAGGTCCCTCATCGTTGGTATTCGACATGGCATTGATCTGGTCCAGAGTGGCGTAGGTGAGCTTGAGAACATCGACCATACCGACAATCTCGCCTCCATCGTTCATGACCGGCAAGTTCAGGTAGTGGCCATCTGTGGAACTGTCAGTTTATGCCCTATACCCCTGTTTGAGCGACTTACCGTGCATCTTCCGCAGCGCCGCCTGGAGGGTCATGTCCATTGGGGCAAAATCGGGGTGAGGAGTCATGACACGCACAACACTGCAATTGGCCGGGTCCAGGCCAGGCGCGATAACTCGAAGCACGACATCCTTGCTGGTGAAGATGCCGGTAATGGCACCCTGATCTTGGACCAGCACGGCGGTGGTGCGGTTCTCCTTCATGAGCTGAGCAGCTTCCTTGACCGAGGTTCGCACGCTAACGGTGGTGGGGGGGACGCCGTTGAGCACCGTCTCCAGAGTAGGCCCGGACATCTTGCTGCGCAGAGCCTCAACGTATTGGATAATCTGCTGGGGTTGAGTAGAACCCAGCTCAGACTGGACACCCTCGAGGGCATCGTAGAGTTTTCGCGAGGACGAGTAAGCGCGCTCAAGCTTCTCCATGGCATCGTAGAAGCACTTGGTGATGTCCAGCACACCCGAAATGTCCTGGTTCTCGTCCATAACTGGCAGATGTCGGAAACCCTTTCGAACCATGAGGTCCAGGGCATCGGTGGCGCTAGTGTCGGTTCGAGCGCACAGAGGGTTCTTGGTCATGATCTCGGCGATGGTGATGGCCGAGGCCTTTGCACCAGCTCCCACAACACGGAAGGCAAGATCCTTGGCAGTGAAGATGCCGGCAATTCGGTCGTCATCGTCGGTAACCAAAACGCAGTCCTCTCGCTTTGCGGCCATCAACTGAGCGGCCTCAGAAACAGTGGTCGCGGGCTTGATCTGGAGGGCGGGGCTGGGCTTGAGTGCGAGAACGGTTCCCGGGGGAGCTTTTCGGGTGTGTCGAGCTCGGCTCGTGAGGTGCTTCTTCTTGGACAGATCATTTTCGAGCTTTTTTCGGATCGCCTATAGCAGAGGTTAGAGATCGGTGGTGCAAATGCAAGTTACGGTGAAGTGAGGTGTATTTGGCCCCGACAACCCTCGAGCTTGTGACAGTGGAAGCGCTCCAAAGTCGGCCTCGAAAATGGGATGGTGCCATTGAATAGACCATCACAGAGTATTCTAGCAAAGAGGTATATATAGTGACGCACCTCATCACGCTTGGACTGCTTCTGGCGACTCGCACTGAGGGAAGAGGCTGTCTCCGCCTGAGCAGTTTCGAGGACGGGACGAGGAATGCTGGAACCGCCGGGGCTGTTGCCGAAAGGCGCGGATCCGCGGCCCTGGTTGCGGGTGGGAGTGCCTCTGTATGTGTTTCCCGACATGGCGGCGGGTGAGTCGAGTCGAGGGTGGTCAACAAGGAGTCGGGCTCGTCTTCACGGCCGGGAATGGCTCGATGCGGAGGGGTCGGCGGGCGGCACACGAAGGGGCACCTAACGATGTATTCGGATATCTCTCTGCCAGGCGGAGGCGGCAGTCGAGAAAGAGAAAATTATAAAGGCGCCTGGCCAATCGCAGCACCAGAGATATTGTGCGGGCGGGCGTGAAATGGGGTGACCCTCGGGTTGGAAATGTCAAGACTGGATGGATAACCTAGAACCTGGTAGGCCCAGTTCACCGACCCCTGGTCTTGGTTGTCCGGTGAGCTTTATTGACTTTGGTCGATCATTGGCCGGCACGTGCCCGCACCATTCGCTCCTCAGGTATCGCCGGCAAGTCCTATCACTACAGGAAACATCACTACAGGCAGTTGTTTACTTCCTCTTCATTCTCTTCCATCAAAAAGATTTTGATGTTGGTGCAGCTTATCCCGCATATCGCTTCTTGTGGGTCAGCCCTTGTCACTCTGGTCCTGCAAGCCCATTCGTCATTCATCCCATTGCGTCTTATAAGAGTCGACGCAATATAGCACGGGCCCTGGTTTGCATGAATCTTGGCTTGACATGATGGGCCCTCCCCGATGAACTACAGGTCTGTTCAGACGGCAATAGTAGAGATCCCATAACATGCGGGCAGTCTAGCAGTGCATATCGGCCAGCGAAGAGTTCATGCGATCAGGGCTAGGCCTACCCCAGGCTCGGCACATGGCCAGGAAGAGTTCGGACGGACTGTTGGCTACTCCCATCTTCTCGGCAATGCCTTTTCGAGCACGGCCTCCCCATCTAGATACTTTACTATGTTAGTTGTGCTGCGAACTTGCCGATATCTTGAGCGATGCTTTGACAGATAGGTGCCAGGTTCAGGAAGAGGACTCAGACGGCACTATTGTCATACGTCGTATACGTCGTGCGGGTCATCACAACATGATGGTAATTTTCTTTTATTTGTTCCAGCCTCAATATGGTCCAGTAAAGTCTCTTATGCGAACTTTCAAGTAGTGTTTTCCAAGTAGCATCTCTCGTCTACCTGGGTAGCGAGAATGTCAGAAGCATCCATGCGGAACCTCTCATTCTGACATAAGCCAACCGCAATACTACAACATCAAAACCTCGATAACAACAGACTATAAACAGATGTCTTGAAGAGGTATAAACTTTCAAAGACAATTTTGTCAACCTCTTCCCGTATTACAACCGCATAAGGGCAAAAAACGTCTTCATGGCAATAAGGCAGTCAGTGGGGGTTATGAGAGAATTAAAGACGCCTCGCTCCCAGGCGGACTTGTTGCTGCCTAGGATTGCCGAGTGTTGATATCGAGCTGCGTGAGGCTCAGCGAGATGAGGAATGTTGCCGAGACCGATACACACCAAGTCCCAAGCCACCTCCTATCATCTAAGCCAGACGCTCAAGAGCACTCAATAAAAACAATCGGAAGCAGCCCCGAGATCGTGTCTCCCTAAATACGACAGATGTAATGAACAATGGGTTTCTAAGCCCTACTCAGTATACCGTAGCGAGTAACTTGAGACACGGGTGTCAAGATGGATCCAGCCAACGTAAGAATACCAGAGAGTCAACGTCCTCGGCCTTCTACCGCTCATTGATGCTCCCATCATCTACCAAAACCAGCAAAGAGAGTCATACGGCGGTGAAAAACCGCACATGGATATAGATATAGATATCTTCCCAGTCAATCATGTGACTATCAACGGCATCGCCGGCATCAACCGAAATATGGCTCGGCAGTGACTTTTACATGAGATCCACAAACTCGTTGCCGAATCCCCACGCTACCTGAAGAGAGGAGACAGTTTCCCAGGCAGTAGCGGAAGCTCGGGAAGGGAAAAATATGACGAAAGCTAAGTTTAGTATCAAGGGTTTCCGAGCTGTTGTCGAATTAGAGCTTTATCCACATACCAAGCTGGGGCGGTGTGTGGAAAAGAAAGTAAACAAAACTGGCATGGCATCTCGGAGAGTAAATACAATCTAGAACCGACAGTTCTTGATGATGATGTAAGATACATTTCACAAAAATACATAGAACACGTGCGAGAACGTGTGGCACATATCTGTTTCGTATACATAGGCGGGCGATTATCTTCAACACCCAGCAACACTCTCCGTCCATTAGCGTTCAGCCAACTCGGGCGAGAACAAGACGTCAGGTTTCAGCTAGGCGCATCGCCAAGAGATGGAAACCCAGACAACGAGTTCAGGCGGGCAGTACCCGTCCAACGTGGATATGGAATGCAGGTGGCAGGCCTCTGGACAGCAACATCCTTGCCCACCATGCGAGATTGCCTGGCATGCAACAAGAGGGGCTCCCGCAGCTGAGACACCCTGACTAGGTAGCGATGACGAGCCTGAAACAAGTCGTCACGATGTAAGAGGGATGCAAGGATTCGTGGATGCCTCTTGGGAGCGGCACTGGAATGTTGTCTCCTCACGGGGCAGGGCAGGGTAGGACATCTTCAGCAAGCGCCGTGTCATGGGGGACGGCGCTTGGATGAGCGGTCGAGCGGGCTATTATGGCTGCCGCAGACGAAAAGCGTCTGGGGTTTCAAGGTGGCCAGCTGAGCTTTGGTAGATGCCATAGGATAAATGATTGTGATGAGGGTTCCATTCACTTTTAGCGCAGTAAAGAGATCCCTGCTTCCCGTGCCCGTTAGTTACCTACTGAATAGCGCCAACATCGGACCTCGGTGTTGAGCGCCACACACGCGCTTGGGAGCTTCCCGCCCGTCGTCAGAGCTCGAGTCTTTGTGCGATGAAGAAAGAGCCTTGGTACTCCCTTTGATGCAGATAAAGTGAGTGCTATACTCCGTACTGTGCATGTAGATGTTCTCCTCAAGTTTATACATGAAAGTGCTCCAGTCTTGATCTCCATTACAAGGGTCCTCAGCTGCACAAATCCACTACAGCACAAGTTGGACAAGGCTCCTGATTGGTCACTCCTGTCTCACAGCTTCCATGTTGGGCTACCAATGGATCCCTGCTGACAGTAGGTCGTCCGATGGACTTGTTACCGTGGAAACCGTCAAAACATTCAACATGGTCTCTTATCCCTCCCAGAGCTTCCTGGCCTACTACTCTGGCCTACGAACCCACTCTTGCTCTCCATCTCCATCTCTAGCATCACAGCTACCACTTTGAAGGAAGCAAAGCTTCTCATCATATCAAACAAGAGCAAAGAGAGATCCATCTACAAACAAACAATCCATCGCCTGAAAACGGTGTTGCAACGCATTTCATCGATATACAAGTCGACCGAGGCTATTCACTCGACCGAGCACGACCAAACGCTTTCCCAAGCTCGGCATTCATTGCTTGCTTGCGTGAAGTAAAGTAAGTTGCAGAGGGAACTCAAAAGGGATTATCTAACATTGCCCAGCTTCGAACCTCCAGGTTCCCAACGGACACGTTCCGACCAACGAGATCATTGATCCGAATCCATTCCTTTCGACAATATGCGGTCCGATCACTCGGCGTGTCACGCCCAGATAAGGCAGCACCGTCGTCAAAACTCAACGCCCAGCGGCTTCGAAGGCGCCAACGTTCCAAACAGACTCCCGCGAAACGTTCGACAAGCAGCCCAAGGCCACCGACGGGGCCTCAGCCTCGATATCCGAGGACATCACAACATGGCATCGCCAGCAACACGGCAAGCCTACGTGAGTAATACTAACAATGCAGGACTAGTGAACTATACTCAAGAACAGTTCCGAGCCCGCGCCGGCTCCCATCAGAACCCCTACACAAATCTGACAGCAGCAGCAAATGCAAGTGAAAGTTACCTCACCTCGCAGCAGGCCCAGTCGTTTGAACCGTTTGACCCCAGCTCCATGTCCTTCCAGTCCTATAACCCAGAACTAGATGCGCTACTGGGCAGGGGCCAAGCAGCCTACGCCGACAACATGTCAGCAGGTAAGGGTTTTGATGTCTTTGACAATAGCAGTGCCTTTTCCACTCCCACCTTTGCCAACTTTGCCGAAAGCCCCTCGGCCCCGGGCTGGGTCTCAGAGGGAGACACCTCGAGCACGCGGAGGAACTCGAGGCGCATGAGCAATGACCTCATGGACCGCGCCGACAGGTTCGACCTGAACGTAGATGGCCTCCCTCGGCCCATGACTCCCCCGAACCAGAACCTACAGAGTCAGTCTCTCGGCTGGTCGATGCCACTGCGCAACGAGGCTGACATGGAGGAAGGCTACCTCCCCCCGACACCGATCGAAACCCCCCAGGACCCGACCGTCAAGGACGAGCCCCGCCCCAACCGCTTCGCCAACGGCTATGATGAGTCGATGGAGGAGACGGTCAAGCCCGTGAGGAATCGAGGAGCGAACCCCAGAGTCCAGAACATCTTCCAGGACATAAGACAACAGTCTGAGCAGACTCCGTCTCGTTCGGCACAGCCGAACTCCATGTCCGGGGCTGATTCCTTCTCGATTCCTCTCAACTCTCGCGACTTGATGAGCATGAGCAACTTCAATGACGAGTTCTTGAAGATTGAGGCTTCGTTCGATAGGGATGCGCCCAACGGCCTCCCCGTGGACCAGCAGTTCCCCCAGCGAACCACCCCCAGCACTCCCCAGACGACACACTTTATGCCATTTGACAACACGTCTCTTGACAACAAGCCTGAGTTGCGACCCTACCCTCTAAACGCTCACACTCTCTCCGCCATCCCCATGCAGACGCCATCCCGCCGCCAATCCCCTCATCATCGCCGAACAGACTCCGTGGCAAGCCAAGCAAGCGCTGCCAGCATCGCCAGTATCAACATTGAGGATACCAAGACTGAGACGGGAGTCAGCCAAGAAGAAATCACCCAGTACATCAGCGGCCCCGACGCCAAGAATGGCCGATGGTTCTGTCTGTTTGAGGGATGCGGCAAGGACTTTGGTCGCAAGGAGAACATCAAGTCACACGTCCAGACTCATCTCAACGATCGCCAATACCAGTGCCCGACTTGCAAGAAGTGCTTCGTTCGTCAGCACGATCTCAAGCGGCACGCCAAAATTCACACGGGCATCAAGCCCTACCCTTGCGAGTGCGGCAACACCTTTGCTCGCCACGACGCCCTGACTCGACATCGCCAACGAGGCATGTGCATTGGTGCCTTCGATGGCATCGTGCGAAAGAGCGCCAAGCGAGGCAGGCCCCCAAAGAACCGCCGCCCAGATATGGAGACCCGTATCGAGAAGTCGACTCGCACTCGCAAGAAGAACATGTCCATTAGCTCAACATCGTCATTCTCGGCGTACTCCGACAGCTCCGTTGTCAACTCACCCGAGAACGACCTGGACATGCTTGACGACGCCATGATGGACATTGGAATGGCATCGCAAACCCAGACCCTTGCTCACATGTCGTCTGCTTCCATGTCCTCAGCCCCCATGTCCTCCCTCCCCTCCGCGTCGTTGAACGACTATGCCTCTTCTCCCTCGGCCGTCAGCGCACACTCTTACGTCTCCCCTGAAGCCCTGATGGAAAACACCCCCCCGAACAACTACGTCTCCCCTGGAGAAGTCATGGAGAGCACCCCAGCGAACGGAGGATCTCCTACCAAGAGCAACGCAAGCCGATCCAACACACCCCCCGCACTATCGCAGTCGTCATCACCGCCTCTGCAGCCGCAGAGCTTCTTTGATGTCGACAACACCCTTAACACGGATGACCTGTCCACACTCTCCGGAACCAGCACTTTGATGACATCAGCTGCCATGGCCGGTACCCTTCCCCTAGTCATGAGCGAGCAGGACCACGATGCGCTCCTTCAGTTCTCCAACGACGATAACGACTGTGTGTCGCTATACCGCGACCCGGAGATGCTGATGATGAGCAAGCTTGAAGAAGACCTTGACAACAACGACCTGTTTATGAACAATGGCGATGACTTCTTTGGCACTTCATAACCTGTCTTGTCATGTGTGTTTTCTCTTCTTCTCAAGCCAATTAGCCTTGTACTTTTCACATTTTATCTACACCATGTGTTGACGACGCTCATGTACCGGTCCGGTCATCATATCTAGGGTTCATCACGGGAGAACATAAAAACGGAGTTTTTGGACATGGCCTACGTGCCTCTTGTACACTACCTAAGGAGGAGTAATCTGAACGGAGGAGGAGGACGAGGAGAAGGAGAAGGAACAAGGTATAGAAATGGGAGGACGGATGGAGTTTAATTGGATGTCATGGGAATCATTGGGTTTCAAAGGGAAAATATGGTCTCGACACGGCCGAGAATGGAGTTGATTGGTGAATGCTCTTTGGTAAATGGCATTTGAATGGAACATTTTTGACGACAATGATTCGAGTTGAGTTGATTTGAACAAGTGAAGACTTGGTTATAGTTCAAGAGACGCGTCATTCTGATATTCATATTTCGTCAACTGCATATGTAAATGTGAATACTTTGTGATAATTCGGAGCCATCATTAATTGCTAGCATGCAAACAACTCACTGCTTGTCCTCGTTTCGTTAAAACCGGACATTTGTTCGTCTGTTTGCTCTGATATGCAATGCGTGTTGTCGTTGTTCATGCTTACTAGTAACCTACACTTCTCCACTGTGAGGCAGCTTTGAAAGCCTCTCTCCACAACAACAACTACCACGCATAGAATCATCTTGCACACCCCATCTTCAGCTTCCTTTTCCGATTGGCATGGCAGGAATCTGAGAAGCATCCATCATGCTGACTCCTACCGTCGCCAACAAAATCGGCTTCTTTTACGCCGCTGGCAACACCCCAGCAACCAGCCTGACAAGATGTGTGCCGCAAGGCCAAGATGCCACCATCTTATCCTTAGGCTGTGGTGACTTGCGCAACATCTTGTATACCGCATACACCGAGAAAGGGCTTCGTGAGTATTATTCGAGATTCATGATACCCTGGCCATACTGATGGAAGCTAGCATCGAGAAAACTCGACTTCACCTGTTGTGACTATGATGAGAAGATCGTCGGTGAGTTGGCTACCCTGTATCATGACACATGGCAACCGTTGACAAGACACAGCTCGCAATGTCTTTCTTCTCTCCTTTCTCCTTGACGGGGATTGCAAATTGAGCAGTGATAAGCTATGGGATGTGTATTATCATCTCTTCGTGGATAGTGAGACGGCTGCTGCTGTGCTCCAGCAAGCCACCAAGTTGGTCTCCATGTCCAAGAACCTCGAGGACTGGAACAAGAACATCTACGGCCGAGCCATCAAGTTTTGCGATGCAGACACCCTCAGAGATGTCCGTCGCGTATGGATCGTCATCAAAGACGCCGCGGAGAAGTGCCAGGCTGGCACCCACTGGAAGGCGTTTGAAGAGAACGTTCAGCCCTCTCGGGACTGCCGCTCTGCGATGCTCGGTGAGGAAGGCATAAACATCACCGCCATGCGTTCTGCTGCTCCTCTGTCTCTACAGGCTGGACCCAAGCTGTGGGAGATGTCTCAGCAGTATTGGAAGGACGGCACTGTGACGCCCAAGGGAGCTGATGAGAGTACCCCGAACCCGCTGCTTGCCTCCCTTCTTTCCGAGGACCAGCTCTTGCATTACGGGACTGACCCCATCCTGGGATTTCACCTAGCTACAGGCTATGCTCCTCTTACCGAGTCATCGCCGCTGAAGCCCCAGAACCCTGTTGAAGGGTTCCCTGCTACGGCTGCTGCTCGAACCCAGTTCAACGACTGGATCGCCGCGTTCAAGTCTGACTTTAAGAAGAACGTTGTTATCCGCTTTGCTATCTCGGATGCTCTGACTCTCTGCCATAGCTTGCAGACTGTAGCTGCAACAGGAAAGTCGGCCAACCTCTACCGACGAGTCTGGGACGCCCGTCCGTTGATTTTGGATGTCAAGGAGTATGGCAAAGCCGGCTCTGGACCGAAGACTTTCGATATGATCGACACCTCAAACCTGAGTGACCACATTGGTGCCCTGAATCTTCTCATTGCAGCGGGCCCTCTGCTCAAGGATGAGCCGTGGGCCTCCCTGTTTACCGAGTTGTTGATCAAGCGACAAGGGACTCTTCAAAACGCCTTTGAGCAGCTCATCTGCGGACACGCACCCACCATCTCGCTTCTGCTTGGCTTCAGCCCGGTTCAGTACTGGACCAACGCCAAGGCCGAATCGCATGTCGACGAGATATTCTTGGGTCTCATGAACAAGGGGGCCCAGAGGGATACCCAGGTCCGAAGTCGACTTGCTTGGAAGCGTGATACCCAGTTCTCTGGCCAGGTGCGTCATGGAAAGCTGCACATCGAAGCGAAGCAGCTTGTCAAGCTCCTGTCACCGCTGTACGACTACATGTTTGAGGCCGAGAACACCTCCAAGGCTCTAGAGAACGCCCAGACTCGGATCAGTACCTACACACACTTCATTCGCACAAGCTTTGCTGCATTTATCAAGGTTGTAATGAACCGAGTTGCAACGGACTGGCCGACCATGTGTTCAACTTTGGTCGACACGATTGCTCAGGATCACAGATTCTTAATGGCCAGCAACGGCATGCAGGATCTTTGTCTTCAGCTTCATCTTCACGGAGTCAACACCGAGCCCTGGTTGCTGCAGGAAAACAGAAAGCTGCCAGAGAACGGAACATTCAATCTCTGGAAGTCTCTGCCCCCCGCTGTTGCCGTCACCGTGGTGGTTCCTAGAAGCCAAATTGCTCGGCTGTATAAGCATGATAACGAACAGCTCAGACTCGCGTCGCCGCCGCTTGTCGGATCGGTTAGGTCGAGTCACGATGCGACAGAAGCATGGCAGAACATCTTTGGAGACATTCAGATTGTGTTTGGAAACCTCAAGACATCCAAGTTACCGAACGAGGATGACTTCCAGGTTACAGTTGAACCAGACAAGGATGGTTGGGCGGGCGACTCCCCTTTGATCGCATCGTTTTACGTACCCACGTCGACTCTGCAGAATGAGCCCAACACAGCCTTGGCTGGCGTCTGTGTTCCACCGACCGGTCAGAACTCCGTGATCTTTGGACCGATCCTCGGCATGAACATGACTGTCTTTGAGACACAGTTGGATGATAGGTCTCAAGTCTTTGTGACAAAGTACCTGCCTGGACAAACAGGTTACCCCTTGATTTGCGGTGCTCTCAAGCCTCTTGACAAGGAAACGAACTCGGGCCAGAACGACAAGACGACGAAGCTGATGGTTAATGTTGCACCTTCCGAGTCCAAGATCACCACCATCACTGGTCACTTGGACATCACATCGACCAAGGGTAAGGCGCTCCTAAAGGAAAAGGCTCCTATTGAGCTGCGCCAGGAGAACCCCTTTGTCATCGACATTGTCTTTGGGAAGAACAAGCTGGTGTGCCCTGTCAAGTTCCCAGTGCCTGTAACCAAGACGGGTATTAGGTCACGCGTGGCTCGAACCACGGGCTACATCGAAGTGATTGCACCATTGGCTGAGCCTGCGGTATCTGAAGAGCTCTTTGATCTTGTCTACCCGGTGGAAATCTCTTCCTCTGGTGTCCCAGCTACGCTCAACACACCGCATTTCAACCTCGACAATCTCCCAATCATTGATCTGCAGAAAAAGGACAAGACACGTTGGATGACCACGCTCACCTCTTTGCAATTCTCAACCCGAGAGAAGCATCTGCGCGAGGTTAGGGATGACAGCGGAATCTCGGATAACCCAGTCGTCAACCTGAAGGAGTCCATCTTTACCATGTTCATGCTCGCCTCGGGTCTTCAGGGAGGTCAGACAGGCCTGTTTGCAATCACCCATCCCGATCGAGGAGGCATTCACATGCTTGTGTTTGCGTCCGCTATTAGGCTTGATGGAGACGCTGCTTCGGTAGTCCTTGATGCTGCCATCATTCCCTTTACCATGGACCTCGTCGAGTCTGGTCGAATGGAAGCCTTCCTCTTGATACTCCGAACGCTTGAGTGTGCCTCAATCACTGTGAACGACGCCGAGCTGGCCCTTTGGAAGAAAGTTCTCCCTTCGTTCGTGGAGCGATGCCGAACTTGGCCCCACGGCCGCAAGTGTGAGTACAAGGGAAAGGGGGCTACTATCCCGTTGAGTCTGAAGGATGGCGAACAAGTCATCTGCTCGTGTGGCAATGGCCGTCTCCCCAAGGACTTTATGTCACTCCCCGAGTGGGACAGCGCGGCTCCCAATGCTGTCCGTGTTGCAATCAGCCCAACGTATGCGGTTCCTTTCGTTGAAGAGGTCATCGATGCTTCCGAAATGCCCAGCATGGAACAAGTGACTTCGCCAAAGGACCGATGCAGAAACTGCGGAAAGCCCGAGAGTGATAGTGTGACGCTGAAGAAGTGTATGCGCTGTCAGAGGGCCAAGTATTGTTCAGGAGAGTGCCAGAAGAAGGACTGGAGGAAGCATCGTGGGGAGTGTGACGAGTCTTAGGAGTTGCGGTGGTTCTGAAATGGTGTTGAGTAGGGGGTACTATGATGAGATCTGATGTGAAAAGCATGGAGTATGGGGGCGATATTGTGTCAAGATGATGGGGGCGATTGGAATGAAGTGTGAATAAGTAGTTGGTGTATTGGACACGAGCCTCTTGATGCCTCCATTTCCACGACATGTACCTTTGAGTTTAACATCTGCCACTGCCACAACCGTTGATGTGTGCTGCAGCCCGAAAAGCTTGATTTTTCTGCGTATATAAGCTCCACGTTTCTCAAGCCTTTGTTCTTTCTTTTTCTCCTCCTTCATTCCCATCTGAGCGGGCAGCTTGTTCTTTTCATTTGTACACGAAAACAGTCGCGCCAATGATGAACCCATAAAATGAAGCTATCCAGCAGGATGGCACTAGTGTCTCCAAAGCTGCCTGCTCGAATAATGGGTGCTGAGGTCCAGAACTATTTTATGCCGTGTTGCCGTTGTTTGCCATGCCTGGACACGCGGAAGAGATGCGGCAGCTCACCCACCTCAGGCATCAGCCATGAGCTTCGCTAGAGAGTAGGTAGTTGGTGTGTTAAACACGAGTTGCACACTTGATGTCAACACTGATGAACAAAGCTGATTATAAAAGACGGTAATTAAATATCAAGATGTGAAATAAAGAGACAAAGAAGAGTATGGACTCCCATGTTAACAAGTGCAATGATCTTATACGTTCTTATACATTCGGTGAGTCCAGAGCAAGCCAAATGCTCCTTTATGATTGGCCCCTCACCGAGCCCATACCCCTCGGTGCCCTCACCTTACACCGCCTTCACCCTCTGGAGGGGCAGAAAAAATGTCCAGCCTAGCACGCACAGGCAATAGCACAGCTGCTCGCTCCAGCTTGTGGGATTACGAAATCGCAAACCTCCCACTATCTCAACCTCTCCCCCCGACCTCATACCACTCGACATAGTATCCGCGTGTATCGAGCGCCCCGATCTCAACTATGTCGGCTGCGCAGCTTCTCAACCCCAAGGCCGAGTCCCGAGTGCGTCCCTGTTATACCCCCCGCAGACAAGTGGCCTCGCCGCCTGCTAACCCCGTTGTCGCAGAGGAGGGGCGAAGCTCTCAAGGTCAACATCAGTGCCGGTGAAGGTCTTCAAGATGTCCTCAAGTCTAACCTGGGCCCCCGAGGCACCATCAAGATGTGAGCGCCACTCATGTCACTTTTTTCTGCGCTCTGGCTGACCCCTTTGCAGGCTTGTCGACGGTGCGGGACAGGTACCGTTGCCTATCCAAGTGCCCCTCAAAAACGACCCCTTTACTCACCGATAACTACAGATCAAGCTGACCAAGGATGGCAACGTTCTTCTCCGAGAGATGCAAATACAAAACCCCACCGCCGTCATGATTGCCCGAGCAGCGACTGCGCAGGACGACATTTGCGGTGACGGAACCACCTCGGTCGTCATGTTGGTGGGCGAGCTCCTGAAGCAGGCAGACCGATACATCTCTGAGGGACTGCACCCTCGTATTATTACCGATGGTTTCGAGGTTGCCAAGATCGAGGCCTTGAAGGTAAGTCCTGCGATCACACCCTCAAGACCGTAGCTCAACGTCGCAGTTCCTCGATTCTTTCAAGCTCCCCAAGGAGGTTGACCGAGAACTCCTCATCAACGTCGCGCGAACATCGCTTGCCACCAAGCTCAACGCCACCCTGGCCGCCAAGCTCACTCCCGATATCGTCGACGCCGTCCTCGCCATCTACCAGGAGCCCGCGAAGCCCGATCTGCACATGGTTGAGATTATGAAGATGCAGCACCGAACAGCCTCCGACACCCGGCTGATCCGTGGATTGGCCCTCGACCACGGTGCTCGACACCCCGATATGCCGAAGCGACTCGAGAACTGCTACATCCTGACCCTCAACGTCAGCCTGGAGTACGAAAAGTCGGAGATTAACTCTGGATTCTTCTACTCGAGCGCCGAGCAGCGCGACAAGCTTGTCGAGAGTGAGCGCCGATTCGTCGATGCTAAGCTGAAGAAGATTGTCGAGCTCAAGCAGGAGCTGTGCGGTACCGACGGCTCAAAGAACTTTGTCGTTATCAACCAGAAGGGTATCGACCCCCTGTCTCTCGATGTCCTCGCCAAGAACAACATTCTTGCTCTCCGACGAGCCAAGCGAAGGAACATGGAGCGTCTTCAGCTTGTTTGCGGTGGTGTTGCTCAGAACAGCGTTGACGACCTGTCTGAGGATGTTCTGGGCTGGGCCGGCCTCGTCTACGAGCAGACTCTCGGAGAGGAGAAGTACACCTTTGTCGAGGAGGTCAAGGATCCCAAGTCGGTGACCCTCATGATCAAGGGTCCCAACCAGCACACCATCGCCCAGGTGACAGACGCCGTGAGAGATGGTCTGCGAAGTGTTTACAACATGATTGTCGACAAGTCGGTTGTTCCCGGAGCTGGTGCCTTCCAGGTCGCCTGCGCCGCCCACCTGAAGAGCGATGCCTTTGGCAAGACAGTCAAGGGCAAGGCCAAGTGGGGAGTTGAGGCTTTCGCCGATGCCCTCCTTATTATTCCCAAGACCCTGGCTGCCAACGCCGGTCTTGACATTCAGGATGCTCGTAAGTGCTTGTCTTTTATCGAGGCATGAACAGTGGCTAATGATATTACAGTTGCGGATATGCAGGACGAGCACGCTGACGGCGCCGTCGTTGGCCTGGACCTTGAGACTGGAGCGCCCATGGACCCCGAGCTGGCCGGCGTCTTTGACTCCTACCGAGTCCTCCGAAACTGCATCGCCTCCAGCTCGAGTATCGCATCTAACCTTCTTCTGTGCGACGAGTTGTTGAAGGCTCGACAGATGGGCAGAGCAGGCGGACCGGGGCCTGGCATGGATGGACCTAACGATCACATGTAGGAGATACCACGTTAAAAAGAGGCTAGACAAAAGGCTCTGGGGCGTAATTTACATGATTACGACTTGTATCCTTAATATTTCAACTGCTGTGATCCAATATCTTTTGCCAGAGTGCGTGTATGTCTGTTATCAGGGGTTGTAGGTACACCACGCTAAGCCCCGCATTCAACGTCAACTCCAAGAAAAAAAAAATCTTGACCCCGCCATCACAGCCCAGCAACAACCCAATATCACAACCATGGCTTCATACGATTCTGATTCCTCGGACGGCGGCGAGTTTGAGGAGACGAATGTTCTTCTGGGGTATGCCTCGAAAGACGCCGAGGAAGACACCATCAGCAAACTCGGTGGCCATCCTGTACGTACTTAGGCGCCGTGTAAGAGATGTGTATATCTTTCGCCAGACTAACTGGTAGCTAGGAATGGCTAGATTCCGAGAGCGCACCCAGCGCAGCTTATGCACGATGCAAAGTCTGCAAGGATCTCATGGCCTTGATCCTTCAGCTTAACGGCGAACTACCTGAACGATTCCCCGAGCACGAGCGACGTCTTTATGTCTTTGCCTGCCGTCGAGAGACTTGTCGGCGCAAGGAGGGCAGCATTCGCGCCTTGCGTGGTGTGAGAGTATGGAAGGAGGAAGCACCTAAGGAAGAGCCCAAGGAGGAGAAGAAGGAAGAGACAAAGGAACCAGAGAACAAGGGCCCCGGTCTGGGAGAGACGCTGTTTGGAGCCAAGGGTCTTGGAAGTGCTTCTGGCGCAAACCCCTTCTCCAGCGGCGGTGCGAATCCCTTCAGCTCCTCAAGCAACCCCTTCAGTTCCGGGGCACCAGCGAACCCTTTCTCCTCCTCTCCACAGCCCGCAAAGCCTGCATCACCAGAACCAGCTACCGCCACACTCACAAAGACCTTTGCCGAATCCCTCAACATCAAGGACACACCAGCAACACCTCCTCCCGCCGCTGAACCCTGGCCCGCGCTGGATGCCCGAACAAAGCCTTATCCTACCCTCTACCTCGCCGACGCAGACTACGAGACGCTCGACCCCACGCCTAGCAAGGTGCCGACCAACGCTCGACTCGAGGACGCTGATGCTGCGGAGCCCTCTGTGCTGGATCGCGAGGCCTTCGAGTCCGCCATGGACGCCACCTTTCAGAAGTTTGCGGACCGTCTGGCGCAGAACCCGGATCAGGTTATTCGTTATGAGTTTGCGGGCACGCCGCTGCTGTACTCCAAGAAGGACGCTGTTGGTGAGGCCCTGACCAAGGGCGCTATTCCTCGTTGCAGCAACTGTACTGCCAGGAGGGTGTTTGAGGTCCAGCTGACACCAAATGCCATTGCTGAGCTGGAGGCAGATGATTTGAGCCTTGAGGGTATGGAATGGGGGACTATTATCGTGGGCGTGTGCGAGAAGGATTGCTCGCCGCGTGGAACACCAGTGGGAGAGCCTGGATATGTAGAAGAGTGGGCTGGCGTACAGTGGGAGGAGTTGTCCAAGGGCAAGTAAATGTTTAGATATGCCAGTGAATAAGTCAAGGGATCAAAAGCACAATAGACGGCGGTAGCCACTTTCGTTTCGTAAGTGAACCCGACCAAGGGTATTCCAACAGATCGCAAAGTTCTATGGATGCTCTAGATCCTTGGATGCTTAGCAATAACATGTTCATGTCCGATTAAACGCCTAGATTTTGTAACCCCCTCCATGCTGCCATGCTAGCCTAGCCAAGCCATTCCTGCCATCCCGCATCATGAAGTCGTCAGTTCATGCCAGGTCCATCGACGAGGAGGTGCGCAGGAACCCTTTCACACGCTACAACAAAAACCCTTAAACGGTGTCTTCCCATGACCGCCGGAGCACCCTGGAGAACTGCTCCACGGACACGTCCTCGCGGATCTCAGCCTTCTTGGCTTCGTTGTCAGGGTTCGAGGGCACCTTGACGGTATCGTCGTCCTCAACAGACCAGCCAGCAACCTCGGTGACGAACTTCTTTGTCGCCTCCTCGTTGTCGAGACCCAACCACGACTCGAGGTGGCTGAGCTTGAGCTCGCGGAAGGCTTGTGAGACGAGGAGGGCGATGCGGTGGCGGATGAGGTCCTCAAAGTCGGGGATATCGGCGATCAGGTCGGCAACCATGTCGTCGTCGAGGTCGGCCCAGAAGCGGGCGTACTGAGCACCTTCAAGCTCGCCGTTGAGGGAGCGGAGCTTGGTGATGGCCTCGCCGAGGTCGCCAGTGGCGACGGATGAGGGGTTGATGAGATGGAGGGCGAGGGAGAACTGCGACGAAGGGAACTGGGTCATGGTCTTGACCAGGATGTTGGTGATGACCTCATCCTTGATGCGGTCGGGGTTGAGCTGGTAGCTGAGAGGGAAGTTAGCCTCATTCGGCAGGGGTGACAGTGACAGCTAGGGATGAGGCGTTGGATATCTCAGATACACTATAGGTGACTTCATTTGTGGCCAAGTTGATTCAACCCGCCACAAGTCAGGTAATAGGAAACGTTGACAAAGCAGTCATCATATAACCCAGAGCAAGCACATATCAAAAAGTCGGGCACTCACAGCTTCAGCAGCGTCCGGTTGGCATTGCAGTCAGTGAACTTTCCCTCGCATTGGTCCTGCAGGTACGTCTCGAGAGCGCCGACAGCCTCGGGGTTGTATCGCTCGAGGCCGTTGATGATGTCGGCGATCTCGTTGGGTCGCTCAGGCGGGTCTTCTCCGTTCATGATGGGCGAGTGGTGTCGTTAAAGAGGGGGAGGGATGTCGGGGAGGAAGGTTCTCGCGATGGTGGGGCAGAGGAAAGATTTCGATGGTTTGTGTGAGGGACTCGTTTGTGGGTGCCAAAAGGGTTTAGCGTCGAGTCGCGGGGCTGGTTCCTGAGATTCGAGGAGCGGGAGTCGGCATCACGTGGCTTCGCGTGCGCCGTCGTCATAGAGGTGCGCGTGCCTGGCGTTGGAGTTGATGGACGTGAATGGATGCATCCTGGACGACTTTGGCTGTTTTGTCTGCCCTTTAAGACATTTACGGTTTAACCTTTAATATTGAGCGGTGATAATCACCATGCCGAGTCCGACCAAGAAGCGCAAACTGAACAATGGCACTCAGTCAGCTGCGCCTACACGAGGGCTGGAATACTTCTTTTCCAAGCAAAGACAGCATGGTTCTGCTTCCAATAAAACCCCAGAGACCGAGACTAAAAATGAGACAACGAGAGATGCCCCGGAGAATCTCACAGACGAGGAACTGGCCAGAAAACTCCAAGCTGAATGGGATCAAGAAGTTGCGAATGAACGACAGGCTAACCAGACCGGAACTCGTTCAACGCCAAGCGAACAGAATGAATCAAAATCCAGAGACGAAAGTCCTGCTGCTTCAGAGTTGAAGCCACCAAAAGCACTTCCGACAATGCCCAAACCCAGCGCATCCGGAGACCCGAAGAAACCTACACTCGGTCTACAGTCTGCTGGCATGGCTGAAGATACAATTTCAACATCAATACCCCTAGACGAGTCCCCTCTAACTTTTGAGCCATCCAAGTATATCCCCCAGCTCAAAGAACATTGGGCATCAGAAGGCGGCAACGCCTCCTACGCCCTCCTTACTCGCTGCTTCGTCTTGATTAGCGGAACAACAAGCCGCATAAAGATCGTGGACACGCTGGTCAACTGTTTAAGAGTGTTGATAGAAGGGGATCCGACAAGCCTATTACCAGCGGTAAGTTCAAACAGCCCTCATCTTAGGATTCTGCTCACTCCCATAGGTCTGGTTGGCGACTAATTCAATATCGCCTCCATACATTTCCCTAGAGCTGGGCCTGGGCGGATCCGCCATATCGAAAGCGTTGCGAAACGTTTGCGGACTTGACAGCAAATCTCTAAAAGCCATCTACGACAAACACGGCGACGCCGGAGACGTGGCTTTCGAAGCAAAGAGGAAACAGAGTTTCACTCTAAGGAAGCCAAAGCCTTTAACAATCAAGGCTGTGTATCAGTCTCTGGTCAAGATCGCCAATAGTCAAGGACAAGGGAGCGGAGAAGCAAAGCAAAGACTGGTGGATCGACTACTCCAGGATGCCCGTGGCGGAGAGGAGAGCCGATTCATTGTGCGAACTCTGTGTCAGCATGTAAGAACACGAAATCGGAGCTATCAGCATTCTGTGGTTGTTAATGAGACTCTAGTTGCGTATCGGGGCAGTCAAAACAACAATGCTCATCGCCCTCTCGAGGGCTTTTTTGCTTTCACGCCCACCGGAAGCAGATTTCCCCATCAGATCAGCATCTGAGTTGTCCAAACTAAAAAAGGAGGAATTGGCTGAGATCTGGGGCCGAGGCGAAGAGCTCGTCAAGGCTTGCTTCGCTAGGCGTCCTAACTACGATGACCTGGTTCCAGTTCTCCTCGAGATTGGCATCTCAGAAGAGCTATTGATTCGCTGTGGCATTGCTCTACACATCCCACTCAGACCTATGTTGGGAAGCATCACCCGGGATCTGGCCGAGATGCTTACAAAACTACAGGGAAGAGACTTTGCTTGTGAGTACAAGTATGATGGACAGCGTGCTCAGATCCACTGCGACGAACATGGAAAATCCACAATTTTCTCTCGGCATCTTGAACTAATGACAGACAAGTACCCCGACTTGGTTGAGTTGATGCCAAAGATCCGCGGTGAGGGCGTCGATAGCTTCATTATGGAGGGCGAAGTGGTGGCTGTCGATCAAGCGACCGGGGAGCTCAAGAATTTCCAGACGCTCACCAACCGAGCCAGGAAGGATGTCGCCATTGGGAGCATCACTATTGATGTCTGCCTGTTTTCGTTTGACCTGATGTATTTGAACGGCCAACCTTTGCTGGACCGCCCATTCCGAGAAAGACGGGAGCTTCTGCGGTCACTCTTCAAAGAGGTTCCTCACCACTTTACTTGGGTAAAGAGCCTTGATGCTACGTCAGCAGACTCGGAATCTGTCTTGGATTTCTTCAAATCTGCAACGGAGAACAAGTGTGAGGGAATAATGGTCAAGATTTTGGATAACCTGCCTGCACTGCCATATGTTGGAGATGCTGAGGAGCAGGAGCCCGAAAAAGCCGAGAAGCCGGCACCAAAAGCCAAAGCGAAGGGCAAGGCCAAATCAAAGAACACTCCTGGTGAGAACGGAGGGGAAACAAAGACCAAATCTCGTCGAAAGCCGTTGCTGGCGACATACGAACCAGACAAGCGACTTGATTCGTGGCTCAAGGTCAAGAAGGACTACAGTTCCAGTTTTGATACTCTGGACCTCATCCCCGTTGCTGCTTGGCATGGACAGGGTCGTAAATCGAAGTGGTGGTCGCCTATTCTCATGGCTTGCCGCAATGAGGAGACTGGGGCCTTGGAAGCCGTATGCAAGTGCATGTCTGGTTTCACGGATGCCTTTTACAAGGCCAACAGGGAGTTCTATGATGACGGAGAGGAGAGCGAGGAGCCCAAGAACACAAGATCACAACAGCCGAGTTTTGTGGAGTACTCAGGCCCAAGACCAGATGTTTGGTTTGAGCCTCAGGAGGTATGGGAAATGGCGTTTGCAGATATTACGCTCAGTCCGACTTATACGGCAGCGATTGGTCTAGTCAGTGAGGAGAGAGGGCTGAGTCTGCGGTTTCCGAGGTTCTTGAAGAAGAGAGAGGACAAAAGTCTGGAGGAGGCGAGCACAAACGATGTCTTGGCTGGACTGTTTCGGAAGCAAGAGGCAAAGGCGTCGTCAACGAAAGAGAATAAGAACGGAGGCGAGGAAGTGGAAGAGGCAGACGAGGTTGAGGAGTGAGCGGCAAAGAAGTCTTGAATTAACCATGATGCCTGACCCAACCGGACAATTTTTGTTACACCTCGACGAGTGTCATATGTAAGGCTATTTGCCAGCATTCAGCTTTTGAGCAATCAGACTAAAGATGGCGACTGATCCCATGAAGAGGACAGCATTGTAGAACTGTTTATGTGAGTGTCTTGCCATCGGAATTTCCAGCTCAACTCACCGCCTTTCGAGAGATTTCTCTCTCCTCATCATCAGTTCGAGCCTCAATGAAGAGGCGACGGAGGTTTGGTAAACTGGCCTACTGAGCTGTGAGAGGTGCAAGTTGGAGTGTGAATAGAGCTTGCTCACCATTTTAGGGGGTATGTTGCTTCAGGGCATCTGCATCTTCTCGGGCAGAACTGAAGTAAACTCGACACCGTTACAAAGAGATAGAAAAGGCCGTTAAATATTCTATCAGCACATAGAGAGCCCAGCCAAGGGTCTCTTGTGATGATATAGATACTGTATTCTCGAGTTGGCGATGTCGGGAGGTGACTAAGCCATGTGCGGCTAAAAATAATTGTTAGCGATTGAAGCCACGCTGCACGGGAACGGAAATCAGGCGGCAATTTAGAGTTAGGGGGAACCTGAGTTGGCAGTGCCACTATGTCCACTGAGCGGCAGGGCCCAGGCTGCGACTTCAGTGGGTGGCAGCCCGTCCACATCCTCGTGGCCTTGGCGTCCATCTTCAGTGACAGCTGCGTCTGCCTCAACCACACCCGGTCATCGAACTCCTTTCTTACGTCGCCTTTTCTCGACGACGACGCCTCCCATCTTTTACGCATCCTCCGATAAGCAGAATCATCGGCGGATGCGGCCTTTTGCGCTTCCGGACAGCTAAAAGGAAACACTCGCCTTATCGAATTCGACCCCCGTTGTCACCGCCGCCTTCTGGACGTCACAATCCCCGTCCTCCTTCAGCTATCTCTTCCGCCACGTGCCCCTCGACGATCCTTGAACTCCCTCGACGATGGCGGTGAATCGCATCCGCGGCGCCTTTGCCGTGCCTCGCAAGGGCGAGACCTTTGAGCTGCGCGCCGGCCTGGTCTCGCAGTATGCCTACGAGCGCAAGGAGTCGATCCAAAAGACCATCATGGCCATGACGCTTGGCAAGGATGTTTCGGCTCTCTTCCCCGACGTGCTCAAGAACATTGCAACGGGCGACCTCGACCAGAAGAAGCTTGTATATCTCTATTTGATGTAGGTGGATGAATCTGTACAGCTGCTGGGCCTTGCTTGAGCTTGGTTGGGATTGTGTTCGTGAGGTCAGGAGCTAACAAGAGGACGTAGGAACTACGCCAAGTCGCATCCCGACCTATGCATTCTCGCCGTTAATACCTTTGTCCAAGACTCTGAAGATCCGAATCCACTGATACGAGCATTGGCGATCCGAACAATGGGATGCATCAGAGTAGACAAGATGGTGGATTACATGGAGGAGCCCCTGAGGAAGACCCTACGGGACGAATCACCATACGTGCGCAAGACGGCCGCCATCTGCGTCGCCAAGCTCTTCGATCTTAACCCGCAGATGTGCATCGAAAACGGCTTTTTGGAGATGCTCCAGGAGCTGATTGGTGACCCCAACCCCATGGTCGTCGCAAACTCGGTGACGGCCCTGTCTGAGATCACCGAGACGGCGCCTGAGACGAGGGCATTGATTGTTACACCTGTGACCCTGAAGAAGCTCCTCATGGCCCTTAACGAATGTACCGAATGGGGACGAGTTACCATCCTGACTACTCTGGCCAACTACGGCGCGACGGACCAGAAGGAGTCAGAGCATATCTGTGAGCGTGTGGCACCTCAGTTCCAGCATGTCAACCCTAGTGTGGTTCTTGCTGCGGTCAAGGTTGTTTTCATCCACATGCAGGCGCTTAACCCTGAGCTCGTGAGGTCATACCTCAAGAAGATGGCCCCTCCACTGGGTATGTCTACCACAGTGCCTTGTTGGAATTTTGACTGACATGTATAGTTACCCTGGTTGCTTCGGCACCCGAGGTTCAGTATGTCGCTCTGCGAAATATTGATCTCCTCCTCCAAGCCAAGCCCGATATCCTGAGCAAGGAGATGCGAGTCTTCTTCTGCAAGTACACTGACCCACCATATGTCAAGCTTCAGAAGCTGGAGATTATGGTGAGGATAGCAAACGAGAGTAACTACGAGCAGCTGCTTGCTGAGTTGAAGGAGTATGCTCTGGAAGTTGACATGGACTTTGTCCGAAGAGCCGTCAAGGCTATCGGTCAGGTGGCCATCAAGATTGAGAGCGCTAGCGACAAGTGCGTGGCCGCTCTCGAGGACCTCATCTCCACCAAGGTCAACTATGTGGTTCAGGAGGTGATCGTCGTCATCAAGGATATCCTGCGCAAGTACCCTGGCTACGAGGGTGTCATTCCCACTCTGTGTCAGCACATTGATGAGCTGGATGAGCCCAACGCCCGCGGTTCGCTGATCTGGATTGTTGGTGAATATGCTGAGAAGATCAACAATGCCGACGAGATCCTAGAGAGCTTTGTCGAGTCGTTCATGGAAGAGTTCACACAGGTGAGTAAGATTCACTATAAAGCCTAGAGACAAACGCTGACTGAGCACGCAGACACAACTTCAAATATTGACAGCTGTGGTCAAGCTCTTCCTGAAGAAGCCTGGCAGCAGCCAAGGCCTTGTGCAAAAGGTGCTCCAGGCGGCTACAGCGGAGAACGATAACCCCGATATCCGCGACAGAGCGTATGTGTACTGGCGTCTGCTGTCCTCGGACCCAGAGATTGCCAAGGTAAGGGACTTTAGAGTGAAGAGTTGATGCAATTGCTAATAGCTTTCAGAACATCGTTTTGTCTCAGAAGCCTACAATCACAACCACCATGACTACCCTCCCCCCTGCTCTGTTGGAGCAGCTCCTTACTGAGCTATCGACTCTCGCCTCAGTATACCACAAGCCTCCCGAGTCGTTTGTTGGCAAGGGTCGTTTCGGTGCCGACGAAATCCAGCGGGCTGCCATCCAGGAGCAACGGCAAAACGCCGCCGAAAACCCCATCGCGGCATCCGTTGCTGCAGCCAATGGCTCTGGTAGCGGTTCATCCCAGAACAACATTGAGAACCTACTGGATATCGATTTTGATGGTGCGGCCCCTGCATCTCAGGAGCAGAACAGCGCATCTGCAACCCCTGATCGCGTGGCAAGCCCAGCATCTGGTGGCCCCTCTGGTGCTATGGCAGACATGATGAGCATGTTTGATGCGCCGGCGGCTTCAAGCAGTGGCGCCGCACCTGCTGCTGGACCGAGCAGCGGTATGAACGACCTGATGAATGGATTCGAAGGCTTGAACTTTGGAGGTGCCAACACCAGCGAGCCTCTTCCAGCGGCGATGCAGCTACAGCAGGCTCACGGCGGGGCGCTGCAGCAGCCTAAGAAGGACAGTGATGATTTGCTAGGCCTCCTGTAGAAGCGCAGTATGCCGGAGATGTCTGTCTGTTAGTTCATAAAGGAGTTGGAGAAGCCCTTGGGTGGGAAAAGAACATTGACACATGGTGCTGGCGCAAAAGAGATGAGATGGATGACCAGCCAAATCGTCTTGTTATCGCGTTGAACGCTTGCCAAATAAAGAGCCTCTAATTATCAAGTCGATGAATTTGTTCCTCCTCGTAGTGTGTACGGCGGCATGCCTTGAGCCGGCCCCTGTACGGATATCTCGTTACCCCAACCTCGTGATTCATGCGTGTCGCGTGCCCATTTTTTCGTAAAGCCCAAGCCTATTTTCTATCACTGCATCTCGACGTCGTTGGCCTCGTTGGCCTTGGCGTACTCGTCCGGGGTCTGACACTTTGCGGTCCAGGCGTGGATGTTGGCGATCTCGTCCTTGAGGGCGGCGTTGACGAGGCGATGGCGCTTGAGGGAGTTGAGGCCCTGGAACTGGGAGGAGACGATGAGGGAGTTGAAGGCTTGTCCGCAGCCGCCTTGGCGGTGAAAAGTTAGCGACGAAATCCTTTCCGGGATCGGGGAGAGGCTGGGGCGTGGAGGGGTAAAACCATGGAGGGGTTGCTCAGGCAGGTTTACTAACCAGACATGTCTGTGACTTCAACGTGAACAGCACCGAGACGCTCCTTGATAGCCTCGCGCATAGTCTCGTCTGTGATTTGTGACATGGTTTGTGTATGTGGTCAAGAGTTGCAGAGTAAAAAAAGGAGCGTGTGGGAAAGGGAGTCAGAGTTGGCGATGAAAGATTGATTGATTAGATATCATCGTGGGGTAAAGGTAGAGTTTCTCGGCAGGTGCACCGACCATTTGATCGGACAGTGTGTGTTTCTCTCAAATTGACACGGTATGAGCTCATTGGACCCTTTGCTTTTTTGGTGCAAGCTGCATATGAGGTAGGAGGTGATACACTGACCAGTCAACACCTTCTCTCACGGGCTTGTTCTACTATGAAAGGCTCTGTTCTGAGATTGAACCGTCAATTTATTCTTCGTTCAACTTCTTCTGCATCTGCTAGATCCATATTCTCAACTCGGTTTACGCCTCTGAGCAGATCCTGCTCCTCTTGTCGTGGTCCAACTTCATCTCAACCACACCTTAACTCATCCTCACCCAAAATGCCCGACTCTGGAGCTTGGGGTGCTTGGCAGGTTGAGCCATCCACCTTTACCAAGCTTGTAGTGGATTCCATGCAGAAGCTGTACAGCCCCTCTCTTCACCGTCAAAGTTCAACATATACTGACAGATATCAGGTACCCCGAAGAGCTAGCTGACGGAGCTTGGGACAATGTCGGCCTACTTGTTGGCAACTCGGAGACGGACGCTAGGAAAAGGAGTCCTCGTGTCTTGGTGACAAACGACTTGACCTTTCAGGTTGCCGTTGATGCCATTGCCCAGAGCGTGAGCGTCATTGTCAGCTACCGTATGCTACCTCTTCATGTTTCTGAACCTGGTTAACACTCCGTAGATCCCTTCATTTTCGGTGGTCTCAAGTCCATCACCAACAACGACCCTCAGCAGGCAACCCTTCTTCATCTGGCCAAGGCTGGTATCGCCGTCTACTGCCCCCACACGGCAGTTGATGCCGCTCCCGAGGGCCTCAACACCTGGCTCGCTAATATCGTCGCTGGGTCACACAAGTCGGAGCGGTCCGTTGCCATCCCCTGCAAGACTGCGCCCCAGACCCATCAGGGCGCGGGTTACGGTGCCATCGGCCGTTTTGAGGAGGAGGTTGCCCTCCCCGAGATCCTCATCCGTCTTGCCGATAAGCTCGGTGGTCTCCAGCACTTGATGGTGGCCTCGCCAGTGGGTGCAGAAGTCAAGACCACAAAGGTCAAGAGTTTCGGCGTTTGCGCCGGTAGCGGTTACGACGTTCTAAAGAAGGCCAACGTTGACCTGCTGGTGACGGGCGAGACGAGCCATCACTCTGCCCTACGGGCCATCCAGCAAGGCCGCACTCTCGTCCAAGTGTTTCACAGCAATTCCGAGCGCGGATACCTTAAGGAGGTACTTGGACCCTTGCTGGAGGAGCAGTTGAAGAAATCAGTGCCCGAAGCTGAAGTGGTGACAAGCGAGTATGACAAGGACCCATTTACCATTCTGGACGTGCACGATCTTGAATCAAAGTGATGCAAGGGGCGGTCTATCAAGATACCATGCGTTGTGTCATTATAGGCGAGGCGGTTGGAGTTGACATCTCATGGTTGGGCGTTGGGTGATGAGAAGATTACTATTAAAAGCATTGGGTATATTCGATCCGTCATATATCACCGTTCATCCCTGGATACTCGACTGTCCCTCGATAGTCGTCCGTCCCTAGATAGACGCTCGTCTCTTGATATCCTCGGACTCGGTGTGCTGCTCTTGAGCTCTGGCTGCTTCAAGGCCTCGTCGCCTTCTTGGATGCACTCGTCGACGTCGCTCCCGCCGATGCCCTTTTCTTTCCACGACTCTAGCAACTTCCTCGGCATGATCCATTCTCTCCGCGCTTGCGCAATCTTGCCCTCCTTGACTAGATTTCGTATCCTCTCTGGCGTCGCTAGGACCTGTGCTGCCAGCTCCCTTGTACGCTGCTGCCTCGCCTCTGTCTCACGTTTCTTGCCTTGGTCCGAATCTGGTGCTGGGACCGTCTTGCGGAGGGCATCTCGTATAGAAGATGCTTGGCTGTAGATCTGGGCGATGGCGGGGTCGAGAGTAGAGGCCATTGGGTTTAAGGGGTCCATATTCGCTCGCATCTAAGGGGTTCAAGTCAGCATGTCTATAGTATCGCAATGGTAACAAGGAGATGTACCTTGCGGATAGTCTCAGTCGCCGTAATCAGCTTGCTGTAATTATCATAGACCAGGGCCTTCTTCTCCGCATCGAGCGCCCGCACTTCGCCTACGACGCGCGTGTACAGCCTCAGCAGCTCCTCGAGACTGCTCTCTGCGACAACCTTGCTGACATGTTCCTCGGGATCAAAATTAGGTCCGTCGAGTTCGCTGGCTGGCACCTCCGAGTCTGGTATCTCGATTCTTGGGGCCTGTGCTCTTAAATTGTAGTACTCTCTAAGGGCGGCTCGGTTGGAGGACGTCTTGCGCGGTTGAGGAGTGAACGCGGGCGCTTGGCCGAGGACGGGAGATGCGATGGCCGACCGGGTTGTCTCGAAGGATGGACGTGTAGATGATGTTGGCGTCCTACGGGGAGGTTCGCGAGGAGAAGCGATAGTAGACATTGTAGCTGACGGTGAATGAATTCGATAGTTGGCGATGCCCTCACTTTGAAGCTGTCTAGATCCAAACGGTCGAGGGGGGATGTACGGGACAAGGCTGAGGCTGGGGGGACACGGTGGAGGCCTTCAGTGGATGATGCAGGGGGTCGAGGCGCTAAGTTATAGGGGCGGGTCCACTTTCAGCCGCCTGGAACGTCATTGTTCAGCGAGGCTGCAAAAACACCAACAAATTAAACTTGGTGATGGTGCAACCTCGAGTCACGACAGCTTTAAAAATGGACCTCAACGGGCAGCTTAGAGCTTCTATACTAGCTCATCATCTCCCATATCCATCTACAACTTTTTTAAACTCTCTCATCACGGCGAGGTCTCCTCCACCTCCACTGCCTTCTCTTGTAGCAACGGCAAAGGCCCGCCTCCTAGCAGCAGACATCACCAACAGCACCCTCATAAACACAGCCTCACTACAAAGTCTACCACCAGATGCAGACTCGCCTGAATCTCGCGAGCGCCGTCTCCCGAGGCCTGTACACGTGCAGGTTCTAGACGTGGAAAACATCTCGCTGAGTCGATGGGAGCAAGTCGAGGAGATGGAGGCTGTTGCGAGGGGAGAGACGACGCGTGGGAGAGAAGTTGTCCGCGTCACGGCAGAAGACGACGATAATCCTGAAACGCAACAGACTCAGCGTCCAACGACAGCAGCAGCAGCCAACGCGAGGACAGCGAGCAAGAAGGCAACGCATAGACTCGTGGTGCAGGATTGCAAGGGCGTCAAGCTCTACGCCCTAGAACTAAAGCGTATCGACGGCATCGGCGTTGGAAAGACACAAATTGGCGAAAAGATGCTCCTTAAAGCTGGAACGGTACTCGCCCGTGGAATTATCCTGCTAGAGCCCGAGAAATGCGTCTTGCTGGGCGGCAAGATCGAAGCATGGCAAAAGACGTGGGCGGATGGTAGATTGGCAAGGTTGAAGGAGGAGATTAGACAAAATGAGCAGCAACAGGCATCATGAAAGTAAGGTCTTGGGCTGATGTGTTTGGCGTTATACAGGTAGATACCCCCTTTTCTACATGATAAGACATGATTCTTTTTCCCGCTATCCATGACATAGTTCATGATCGTTTCTTCATACAACAAGACCAACTACTTTCTTTAGATCCCTTCAGTTGCGATGGCCAATGAGTTCCATCCACTTTGCTCCCAAGGCGCCAGCACCGCCGCTGTCTGAGCATCACCAGCAGTTTCAGTTCCAGCATACGCCTCGGCCAAATCTTGGGCCTCGAGTAGACCCCATGGAGGAATACCCCTTGCTGCAACCTTGAGCGCCATCTGCGCTGCGTGTTCATCTCCCGCAGACTCTGCCATAGCAGCCCAACCGTGTGGCAGATCAGGATACAGCATAATGTCCGTCTGGATCTGAGTCTTCATGTCGTCTTCTGTCTTGCCTTCTCCAAGCGTGGCAATCGCACGTAGTACTTGACCAATCTTGGATTGCTCTGAAGCCGTCACCTTGTCGTTTGTGCGGAGGCCGTGTAGTTCCTCCACAACTGCCTCGAGACTATCCTCGTCATTGTCGAGCAGGGCAATGACACCAAGTAGGAGCACCGACTGAACATGATCAGGCCTGCTCTCAATCACCTCAAACAATGCTTCCCGTGCCCTATCCCGCGAAGCCTCGGATCCTTGGGCCCAGAGAACCTGGGCCAAGAGGCAAACTGCATCTGGGTTTCCATCTGACTCTTCCAGAGCAGACTCGAAGCACAAGACAGCCTCATCGAACTGACTATCAAAGTACTGCGCGAGACCAACAGTCAAGTGAGCAGAAAGTCGTGCCTTTTTACGCTGCTCACTGGAAAGCTCGTTCTCTGCCTCCTCGCTGCTAAGACCCAGCGCTAGCTCACCACACTCAATAGCCTTTTCATAAGACCCGGCCGCAAGGTAGGCTCTAGCTAGATCCGTCTTGGCCAGGGCAAACTTGGCAAGGCTCTCAGATGACTCGGTGCTCTCATAGTCAGCCTCGATTGTCGACGAGATCTTCTCAAGTGTATCGACAGCCCGTCCGCTCTCGTGTGTACGTTCCTGAAGAAGAGTTGCCAAGTGTCCAAAGGCCAAGTCCTGTGGCTTGAGACTCTGGAACTGATTGAGTGCAAAGAGGGGTTGGATGAGGTTCGCCACGTTGAGGTCGTTGGGAGTCACCGTGAGGATGTGGTCAAACATGGAGCTCGAGTAGTGTCGTCGAGTCGGTTCAGAGGATGAGTCTGCAATCTCCATGGCATGAGTGAATAGTCCTCGGGCTTCCTTTGCATCACCATGCAGAAGAGCCACGAATCCCTGTCCCAGCCAAGCATGTGCGTAGTCGGGATCGGTTGACTGAGCTCGCGTAAAGACCTCGTTGGCTAGTTGAATATCCCCAGACAAGAGGGCGAGAGTTCCCAGGTTTGTCCAGGCCGCAGGGCTCCTCTCATTGAGGTAGAGACTTCTCGCAAAGGCGTGCTGAGACACCGAAGGGTTGATCTCGCTCGTCACAACACCCAGAGCGTTCCAGAACTCCGAGTTTCCAGCCTCCAATTCGATGGCACGCTTGAAGCACCTCACCGCAGCTTTGACGTAGTTGCTCGACTTCTTCCTAAGTTCTGAGGGGAGGCAGACGTGAGCACGGTGCTCTGCCCATCCCAAGTTGTAGTAGGCCACCGCCTGAGCGTGACGGTCGTTAGCCGAGATGTGCACTCCTTGCTTGTGGCACAAGATTGTAGCATGGATGCATCGAGTGAGGTCAACACCTGGCTGCTCATCGTCTGCGTACAGCCCCTTGGCAAACACCACCTCAGTGCCCACCTTGTCCACGCTCGCAAAGATCTCATAGGCCACTTGCGAGCTGCCTTCAAGCAGTTCTCGGATAGACTGAGTGGGAAAGTCCTTGGTACGACTCTGTACCAACGAAAAGACCGAGCAAGCATCAGCCACGGCCTTCCAAAAGTTGAACGTCTCGAGCACGCCGCCGTTGGTCGCCTTGGCAAACTCGATTGTGTCAACAGCAAGCTGAGCTGCCTTTCCAAACAAACCCTTCTCAACAGACGTAAGGGCACTGTCCACCATTGTCTGCATCAGAGCGATAATGACGCCTTCCTCGTCGGGATGTGTCTCTACAACCGCCTTGTACAGAGAGACGGACTCGTCGTATTCACCGAGTTCTCGCTTAATGTTGGCAAGCATGTACTTGGTGAACCATGTGTCTCCTGAGATGTCTGCCTCAGTCTCCTCCTCGAGCCTCTGGGCGTTCAGAATAGCCTTGGTGGCAGCGATATGCCGGCCAGAGTTGTGATAACTCTCTCCGAGACCAACCCAAGAGTGGTAGTCCTCGGGGGTTATACGAAGCGCCGCCTGGAATGACACAATGGCCTTGTGAAAGTCTTGCTTGTTGAGCTCGGCGACTCCCAGCGCTGCAAATGGCCAACTGATACCCTTTCTCTTAGATCCAGGCGGTGGCTTCACCTTGCCCGATTCAACAATGCGGCGAGCGACCAGCTCAACTCTATCCCAGTCTCCGTCATTCGCAAAGGATCGGGCCAGCCGTTCGGCTGCAACCACCTCGGCGTGTGACAACTCCAGTGCCTTTTGGAAACATCTTCGCGATCTGTTCTTGTCTTTGGCGTAGTCGGCGTAAAAGACACCGAGGTATGTGTATGATGGCGCGTGGTTGAGGTTATTGTTGAGTGCACTCAGCCAGTAGGCGTAAGCACACTCTCCCTTGCGCTGTTTCCGCGCGGCCTTGCTTGGGTCGATGTTCCAGACACAAACTCCCAGACGATGCTGAGTCTCGCCCAGCAACTCCTTTGAGGCCGCTCCTTGCTTCTCTAGGGGCTCAAGGCACTCTTGAAGCTCTTCTTTCGCTGTTTGCCAATCTCCCTTGAGTGCCTTGACCCAAGCGGCTTCCGACTTGACTCGGATGTTGGCTTCATCGCGTTTCAATGCCCGGCTAAGGAAGTCAATGGCCTGGTCGTATTCCTCCTCTTCTTCGTAAATGAGACCAACGCCAATCAGGGCAGAAGTAGAAGTAGTATCTCGCTCAAGAACCTTGTCGAAGAGGTTCTTTGCTTCCTGGTGATGTCGCGGGGATTGGTAGTACACCAAGGCTGTACCAAGGGAGAGGTAATAGGCATCTTCAGTGTGAGTGAATGATATGCCTGTCTTCTTGCGCTCCTTGACAAGGAGGATAAGTGCCTTTCGCATCAGTTCGACAGTGGTCTCATACTCTCCAACGTGAAGCAAATACTGGCCCACCAGTCGATAGGCAAAAACAGAGTCGGCAGTGGTGATACCTTCTGTCATCATGTTCAGACGATCCTCGTCGGTCAGGGGAACAACAAGGGTAGGCACTCCACCATCCTCGTCATCTTCGCTCTCATCAGACCCGGTACCATCTGGTGTTGCTTTCTCTTGGGGCTTTTCTGGAGGAAAGGGTGAAATCGGACTCGTTAGGAAGCTCGTGATAACCTTGTAAAGATCACTCTCAGGGAAGAATGAGCAATACGCCCTCAGAATGTCAACATCCCACTCCTTGGTCTCCTTCTTGTCCTGCCACTCTATTGCGATATCCCAGGCAAGTCTGTAAGGATGCTTGATGGCAACCATGCCATTGGCAATATCAAGCACCTTCTCGCGCTCTTGGCCCTTTTCAGCACCAGCTGGCGCAACGAGAAGTCGGTCGTAGCAAAGCTGCAAGAGCTTCTCCTCATACGTCCTTCTGAGATCATCGTCGCTTGTCCAGTTGATAAGCTGCCGGTAGACGTGTTCAAGCTTGCTTTGGCTGTAGACCTCTCGCTTGGCCTCGATGGTGACCTCGGATAGCTTTGCGCCCAGTTTTGTCCGGCGCTCTCCAATGAGGGTGTTTATCCGATGCTTCTCAAACTTTTCGATCAGGTGCGCAATGCGCTCGTAGGACTTTGCGGGATGCGGGAATCGGCCCTCGAGGATGGGGTAGAGGGGGCTCTCGGGAAGCTGTATCCAGAGAGCGTCGGCGTACTGTAGCTCGTCGCCGTGAACACGAGCAAAGTCGACAAACTTGTCTACCACGTCTTGGGCCTTGTACAGATCCTCGGCAGCGTGGTAGATCTGGGCTAGGTTGACGACAGCTTGCTGGTAATCAACCAACTTCTTGGCGTTTTGCTTCTCAAATAGCTTGATCAGACCCTGCCAAGCTTGTGCCTCCTGGGGACGAAGCCATGTCGCAGAGCGATAGGTCTCTTGAGCCTCATCGAGTCTGTCCTTCTTGTCCAAAGCAAATGCCAGGAAGATGTGCCTTGAAATAGATGTCAGTGTGGGTTACTCATGGCGGGGTAAGCTACCAGGCCCTCACTCACCCTTGGTAATTCTTTGAGTCCTTCTCTATAAGCTCTCGGGCCTTGCTCACTGCATCGTCAAACTTTTGCTGGCGAATAGCATCGTTGATGGCTTTGAGAGCTGCCTTGGTTCCCGACATGATTGCCCAGGCTGTGTTGTTTGTGGGAGTAACCCCACCACGGGCAGTCGATTCGTGAGGTTCAGGGTGTGATGATCAGGCAGGCGGGCTTTTTCCAGTGATGAGTCTTGAAGGCGATATCCCGAGAGGGTCTAATATGCTTTATAACAGTTTGTAAGAGAGGTTGAAGGGAGAGACTGAAAGTGAAAAGGTAGAATATGAGATGCTGTTGTAGGTAGGCAACGGTTGGCATCGCCCTACAGCTGAGAGTATTATGTCATTTTGCTGCATATCGATAACCGAAGATACACCGTCTCAAGCCAGCTCCACCCCCACCAGCACAACCACAAACACCATCAACCTCTGTCACAGGTATCACAAGACAAATAAATTTACCTTGAATACGAACTCACATTGGCTTGTACCTTATTTAAGTCTCCGCCATGCATAGATTACGAAAGCAAGCAATGAATTCACGTTGGATCTCATAAAGCAAATTCACCTTCTCGTCACAAAGTGACTACAGGAGACTCGAAATAGCTTCAATATCATGA